GGTCAGTGGGAAGGGTGTAGTAGATAGGTGAGTCAGAAGATGGCCAGGTTGGGGGAGGAGAGATTTTGGAGTCAACATTCAGGCCATTGGGCTGTAAGGTCCCAAATATGAGGTGTTGCTCCTCCAGTTCATGTTTGGCCTCACTCTGGAGGAGGCCAAGGATGGATATGTCAGCAGGGGAGTGGGATTGGGAATTAAAGTGATGGTTGGGTTAGTTGATGTGCACAGAGTGCAGATACTCCGCAAACTGGTACCCAAGTCTGCATTTGGTCTCCCTGATATAGAGGAGACCACATCGGGAGCAATTGATACAGTCGATGAGGTTAGATGAAGTGCAAATGAATCTTTGCTGGATTTGAAAGGATTGTTTGGAGCCTCCTCTGTAGCCTTTACTGTCTACAGGTTAAAAAGGTAGTTTATTGTAAACATTGTTCACAAAAGTACGTGCTAGCTAGCAAGTGGAACTTGGTTGACTCCCTTCTCAGCAGTTGTGACTACATTGATAAGAAACCACATGCATCTAAATAAGTGTAGTCATGCTCATCTCCCTTAAACTTGTACATGAACATACGTTGCAAAATGATAATTAAAACATTCCCTGCATACTCCTCATGTTGCATCTGTGCCCCACCCACTCCAAAGTCCTTACATACTTTCCATACAAATCCATGAATGACCACCCATCCCTATGGCCCCTCATACCCTCCATGCCAACCAATGTCCCTCCAAGCCCCCTCCACTCCCCTGTGCATTTTTATTGTTTCTAAGTTAGTGTCAATTCACATCAGTTAATTTCCCCTCCCCATCCCACCACCCTTCACTTTACATATACCATGCTAACTTAATATTCACCCTGGGTAGACCTCAGGACCCGTAATCAAATTGAATAATGTTCTTATGTTTTTATTGATGAACTCACCATTTATAATTACCACTCTTTGATTAAAAATAACTTCATTATATTATATTTTCTTAAATCCCTTATGAAAACAAGTATTTGAATTGATTGTCTAAAGTTCAAGGTTTATAACCCCTTGGAACTGTCAATCAAACTGATTTCATAATATCCATTGTAATAATGAAAGTTTGTAAAATGTCAACAGACAGTGAAATAGGGATCATTGATTTTTTTTAACTGTAGGCAGCCTTTTTTCAAATATTTAAATAGCAGAAGATTTAAATGCCTCAACAGATTGATGGCTATATGGACAGTTCCAATGAGTTTGACACTGCCAGTGTGTTTATGCGCTTGATATGCAAACACACATTTGATAATCCCAAAGGGCACTTAACCTTTCCAAAAGTATACCATATCTTCACCAAAAAGCACCTGACCTCCTCCAAAGAGATTATGGGACCCTTTTCAAAATTGTTCCTTATCTGACCACAGAATCCAGAAATTTTACACCTTCTCCAGGTTTAAAGTACACAAGTCATGTTTTGGAAATCTCATTAGCAAAACCTGAGCTGACTGAGGAAGCTTCTGTAAACCACGAATGTGCAAATGAGAACTTGCCTCCATTCACCCATGATGCCGCACCACTCAGCCCCTCACCTGCAGGACTTCTGATTCTTGCCTCCTTCACCATTTCTGCAAAGGTGGAGAGTCTCTCCATCTGTGTGAAAATTCAGACCAATACGTCTCACACATACTTGGGAAACAAATACCTTTCTTTGATATTGTTGGCTACCCATTCCCTTTAAAAATATTTGTTTTTTTTACAATTGAAGTTTAAACTTGGGATTTTCTTTTTCTGAGCTTAATCTGGTTTTATGATTTATGTTTTTGACATCAACACTTTAATAAATGTTTTTGCAGTTTAAAACTTAAGGTCTCTCATTTAGTTCTCGATATCAAGGACAAAATAACCCAATTCCTATTCCCTTTTGCTGGAGGAATAATTAATGAAAAGTTAAACTTGGACTGATATAATATTTGGTAATATTACAGTCTAGCTAAATACTATCAGGAGAGAGGTAATAATCTTAACTGGCTCTTTTCCTTCAAATAGAGAGTTTTTGAATTCAATACAGCCAGTTTCATGTTGTTGAGTTTGGACTGTCTGCACCTAAAGTTGAAAGGAGTTAATCAGGATGCATACCCAATCCAGATAGCTCCAAATGGATTGTCATTTACAACAGAGCATTGTTTAACTCAATGAGCATAAAATTCAGTAACAAAGTCTATAAATTTGAAAACTGGCTCTTGGCTTTTTATGACAAAATTATCTTAACTCTTTTGCATTCTGTACTCCAACTAATAGAAGTCCAAACTAGCGGTAAAGAGAAGCAAAGAGAACTGGATTTTGGTTGTGGCTGTGATTTACGACTTGCACCTTGCTGTGTGGGCTGATAAAAGATATTTTCTTGACTGAATCAGATCATCTGTAATTTTTTTTTACTCTCTTCATGCCACAAAAATATAATGTTCTTGTAGAATTCTACTTGTGCTGAAGATTATTGTTTTTCAGTATTACAATTCTCATTTAAATGATCAAAAAATAAGAGCAGTGGATAGCAGAAAATTTTGAAAGCGATAGTAAATATGGTCTGTAAGAGTCTAGGTTTTCCCATTGATTGGTTGGCAGGATGACTTTAAGGTCTTCTAAGGCTACTATTTCTCCGTACTAGTACTATCACATGACTGACACATTAATTTCTAAGAAAACATAATTAGAAAAGATTAGAACTTGCGATTTCCCCAAATCATCTGCTGCAGTTGCAGACTTTTTAATTGTATGTGCGATACACCACAGTAAAGTGAGACACAAAAATAAATTTAATGGAACGACATGCCACTCAAAAGTCTAATTCGTGTACGATATGTGATAATGTGATCAGTTATTTCAATCAAGGAAGTTAGAGACAATTAAGAAATAAGTGGAGATGTTACAACTTGTACAATGACAAGAATGCAAGAAATTTTAAATTTAGAGATCTTTTCCATTCATTTCCCTAAAATTCCTAAGCAATCTGAGATCCCAGCTCATTCAAAACCAGTTCTGGGGGAGGGGGTTTGCTGAGTTGTTTAATGTGAAGAATTTTGAGAATATGCTACATTATCATTCAAACAAAAATATTACGTTAGCAGGGTTTTTTTTTTGAGGATTTGAATCTCTTCATTGTTTTTCTTACCACATTGAGTTTTTCACTGGCCCAGACTGGTGACCTGGCCCCAGGAAGTGTTGGAATAAAAGACAAGAGCGGCTCATTGATAACTCTCTCTGATTTTCACATATAGTTTCCATATTTATTTTTTAGTAGAATGGCTGAAATTAGATATTCAGAAGACTGAGAAATCAACTAACATCTCGGTTGCGGCTATTATGTATATTATCTATAAATAATTTATAACTCAAGATACAGATTATTTTGGTGGGTGCTGAATCTGCTCCACTTGCCCGATGGCATCAGTGGGTGAGAGGCACAACCGATTCATAGTCACAGTATTTCACAGATCAGGGAAGGGTAGGGGTGAGGCCTGGCCAGGAAAATCTGGCTGCTCTCCCACCAGCCGATCTGGATATTCACTCTGAAATGAGAAGAGACGGTCTGGGAGGTGGGATACAGAAGGATCGATAGCAAATTGTAGCTCTCAAAGAAGCATTTTGCCCTCAAAAAAAATCAGAAAATTTCCTTTTGCTGTTTTGATTTTAGCCTCTGTCAATTCCTTTAGTAATGCATGCTGCACCCATTGGAAACAGCAACAGGATCCTACAACTGAACTAGGATTCTACTGAACTAAGACATCTGTCTGCTTGGACAGCTGTGTTAGCGAACTATTTTGTGGCTCACTGTAACATTTCATTCTGAAAACTCTGTTTATACAGCTGTATGTCATAAATTCAGAAATGCAGCAGATACAATATACATTATGTGAACATTTTGAAAGCAGATTTTAAGCTCTGATTGTAATTGTTATTCAAAGTATTATTCTTTAAAAAATGTATGGTAGATGAGATTAGTGATTTAATAGTACCACTTACCATTTCTTCACAATTCCGATTATATACAATGCAAAGTGTTTTCCAAGGAACTTACAATGTTGACAGTGTTATTTCAAAATAATACCTAAAATTCTGCAAGTGCAAATCTCTGCGACAAGAAAAAGTCCTTCACATTCTAGAAAATGACACTTTAAGTGAATTGTAAATCCTTTATTTTAAAGAAAAAAAGCAATAAACAATGAATGTTTTTTGAATGAGAGATTTTATACATCAGAAAACATTGTGATAATGTACTGTGTATATTTGGATCTTCCAAGATCAGAAGGCGCAGACCATCTTTTTTCACATTGAATGTTTGTGTTATTTTACCTGTTCTGAATGAGTTACACACACACAAGTTTTGTTTCAAACCTTAAAGCATAATGCTTGAAGGACATTTTTGAGTCTTCGTTCTGACTTAATTTAGACTTTCTTAAGAGCCAAATATGTGAGGTTCTTATGTCTGCTTGCTCCAAATATAATCCCAATTGTTGACCTCTTAAAAGTAGGCAAATTGTATTATTTTATATTTTCTATGTAAATAATAGTGTAGTATCTTTTTGACTTTTGCATTCAATTTAGTTGGGAAAATAATCTATGTTTACTTCATTTGTTTGTTTTATCATTTTTGAAAACCTCTAATCATATTTCACCCCATATCTCCTCAATTCAAAACAATGAAGTTCTGGTTGCTGTATCCACTCCTTATGATTCAGAACCCACCCTATTAATTGCCAAATGCAGCTTCTCCAAGGCTGTAGTGAGGACCCCAGTAGTAGATACTGTGTTTCATGTTTGAACTGATCATTGTTTTGAAGTGCCCTTATGATTATTTTAGTCTATTTTAAAATTTATTATAATGAAAATACTGTTTCTAGCAGTTCTGTTCCCTCATATTGATGCAAAAATGTGTTTTAATTTTTTTTGTCATGTTGCCTTAGTCCTTATCAATGTATAAAGTATTTTTTTTCAGTAATTTCTCATTTTGACCGAATGTCACTTCTTTGCATGCAGGAAGGATATCCTTCGCTTTTTAGATGCTGAGAGAGATATATCAGTGGTGAAAAGCAGCTTGAAGCCAGGAGATATAATTCATTATGTGCTGGACAGACGCCGGACCCTCAACATCTCTCACAACTTGCACAGGCTTCTCCCTGAAGTGTCCCCAATGAAGAACAAGAGATTCAGCTCTTGTGCAGTTGTTGGAAATTCTGGGATTCTTCTGGGTAGTGGATGTGGAAAGGAGATTGACAGTCATGAATTTGTAATAAGGTAGGACTCTTTCTATAACAGGATTTTACCATCTTTGCAATTAACAGTGGTTTTCGAAAGCATGAGCATGTTTTTGGATTGAGCGCAATTTTAATTCTTTGTAACTAGATGGCATTTGAACGGTTTAGCATCAGTTCCAATGTATAAGAGAGACAAACTTTTCCTGTCAGAAATGTCCTTTTTTCAAATATAATTTTCAAAACTTCCCAATTGAATGAAATTTCAACAGAAGAGGAGCCTTGCAAAGAAAGCGATGTATAGCCATCGGATTTTCTGAAGAAGGGCCCAGACCCGAAATGTCAGCTTTCCTGATCCTCTGATGCAGGAAAGGCCTGCTATGTTTATCCAGCTCTATACCTTGTTATCTCGGAATATCCAGCATTGGCAGTTCCTACTTCTCTGCTGTGCAGTGATGCTTTCTTTCTGAGGTAACATTTATTGGAATACAGGGTGAATAACTCCACAGACGCTGGTATCCTGTCACCAAGTCACCCTTTATTTACACACGCATAGTACATAGCACTAGTTCAGCTTCCTCACAGCCGGCTCTCAGAGTGAACAGAACTTCTGGCACTTCTGTTTATGTCTGTCAGCCAGCGTTCTCTGACTGGGCCAGATTAACAGCCCCAATCAGGGAACTCGTTGTATGATGTCCACCTGGCTGACCTCGTTACAATCACTACACAGAGCATTAGGACAGATCATTGCAAATTTTATAGACTGTGCCAGTGGTATAATAGTGTAATATGACAGTGATATAAAGCCAGATGGTCACCTACATGGTGAGCTCCTGATTTTAACTGCACCATTATGGTGAGAGAGCAAGCCTTCAAAACTGGCTGCAACTTAGAAAACAATGCAAAGTGATGTCTAAAAAAAGTTTGATGTCAAGAAAAAGACATCAGTGATGATTAAAATGTTTTTGTTATGAAAAACTCAATAAACATCTCTTGGAGTATTGTGCCCAGATTATTATTTTTAAGAGCAAGGGTAAAGATGTTAGAAAGAGTTCAGCAAATATGGTAAAGATGATACCAGTGCTTACTCCTTTGATACATAAAAAGTAACAAAGGGATGTAAATCTGCTGTTTTTGCAAAATATGATTTCAATGTTTTCTGAGAATTATGGAAATCTGTAGGATTGATGAAGAAAAATGCTGTGTCTAATCCAGAGGATTAAAAAAACAGACATGTTGCATGTAAATTTAAACATGAAAGAACTTTAACTGAGAGTAATTATTCCTCACTTGGGCAAAATTACAACAATTTGTTAATAACAGTGATGAAATAGATACAACTAAAAACAATGGAGCAATGCAACTAAATGGTACTGGTGCAGTATTTAGCCACGCTATGTTTTGTTCTACCACCACTTCATTAAGAGTAGATTAACAAAGATTGCATGGGGTAAGCAAACAGTATGTAGTATTGAAAAGGTCTTTAACAACGAATTTGTACAACAATTAATTTAATGAAATTTGTGGCACTAAATTGTGAAGTGATACATTTTGGTAGGAAAACTGAGTAAAGACAAAACAAGCTAAAGGGTGTAATTCTAAAATGGGTGAAAGATTAGAGAGACCTGCAGGGGTTCAAGTATGTATTGATCAGTGAAGGTGGCAAGGCAATTTCAGACCTCGGGTAATTAAACAATTGAGACCCCGGGCTTTATAAATAGAGAAATAAAGTACAAAAACAAGGAAGTGATGATAAATCTATTCAAAACACTATTTGGCTCCAGTACATCTCCAGTTCTGGACACCACAGTTTAGAAAGGAGGTAAAAACAGTACAGAAAAGATTTGAAAGAATAATTCCAGCAATGAAGTAAATAGACAGGAGAATCTACAGCTATAATCCTTGGAGAAGAAAAGGTTTAGAGGAGATTTGATCAAAGCGTTCGATAATATGAAATGTCTGGACAGAGCAGATAGGAAAAAAAAACTGTTCCCATTATTGGAAGAATTGTGAGTGAGAGGATACCAACTTAAGGTGATTGGCGAAAAGGAGGAACGGTGACATGAGGAAAACATCTTGAAGCAAATGGTGGTGAGGATCTGGAATATGCTGCCTGAGAATGTGGTGAAGGCAGATTCAGTCATGGTGTACCGGAGAGAATTGGGACAACTATATGTAGACAAAACAGTTATTACATAATGGGGAAAAAACAAGTGGGATGAGGTGAGATCCTCTTACAGGGAGCCAGCATTATTATCAAGGGCTGAATGGCTAGGAGTGACGTTTGGGTGTTTAATGGTTGGAAGTGGTGGCAGACTTCTGGGATGGGGGTTCGTGACAGGACTGAAGGGGACAACTCAAATGTATGTTGTGTGAGATAACCGAACATGGGAGTGAAAGGGGGCATGTGGGAGGGAGGTTATCAACAGTGACCAGCACCCTGTGGGTTCCATGAGTGGAGCAGTGCACTACCAGACGCAATATGTTTACCTCATAAGTCAGGGCCAAGTGGTAAAGTGAGTAGATACAGACTCAGATAGACAAGCTGAGTGTGGACTTGTGGAAGCATGACACCTGTGGGATTGATGGGGAGGGCTACTAGGAAGGGAATGTTTCTGTTTGGGCTTCCACTTTCTCCTCACTACCTGAGGAGCAACTGCTGTGCTCCCCCTCGGTGTGACCTTCCAGTGGACTGAGGGTGGCAGGCAGGGTGGAGGTGGAAGGTCTGGCCATCTCTGGGGTGTGCTGAGAGGAGACTTCTTGGTGTAGGGATGGAATCTGTGTGTGGTTCCTGCTGCCTGCTTATTGGGACTGCCCTGTCTCTGAGTGAGGTAGGAGGAGCTGGAGTGAGTTCAGGTTCTCTTGTTCCCCTGTCATGCTGAGGAATCAAGGTTAGGGCAACAGAGTGCAGGTCCTTTTGCATACACAGTAAAGTGTAGAAGTGCTGGACTTGGCTCCCCTTGACAGCTGCCAGCTTATCCATGGAGACAGCCAGACAATCACATGCCTGAGACTACAAGGTCCTGATGGTGTTGCTGCAGTGGTCCAACTTTTGTTTTCAGTTGCCCCATGCCCCAGACAGATCTGCCTCCTGCTCCGCTTTCTGCTTGCTTATGTCAATGATGTTCCTGTTTATCAACACCACAGGGCCCTCTCCAGCCTGGACCTGAGTAGATGCCGAGCCTCTAGCGTTCCTCTGAATGCCAGTGGCCTGGGGTGTCTCTTCCTCAACCAGCTACAGAGACGTGGCAGTGAAGTATCTAATGTAGAAAAATAACTTGTCAAGGTGTTGGGGCCTGGTGGGGGGTGCAGAAAGGAGTCTGAAGCGTTGTTCTATCTTCATCATCTCTCATAGGATGGGCTGTCCATTGCAGCCACACTCTTGTACCTGTTAACACAAAACGAAGAATGTTGCATTGGAGGGTTAGAGATCATGGCATACTAACATCAACTGAACAGTGGGACTAATGGCAGAGCTGCACAAAAATGAACAATGTTTCCTTCTTGGTTGTTGGGACGTTGATCTCTAGATGTCTCCACAGATGCGGTCCCAGTTTTTGCCAATGAATGCCAAGCCTCTCCATGTAGAGTTGGGTGGGAGAGAGTAAATGAGATGCAATGTTGGATGCACTGTTAGAGCGTGAGCCTCGGTGGGAGGTGGGTACAGTAGAGAGACAATGAGAGTCAGGTTGCAAAGATAATGTGGTGTAACTAAGCAGAGAAGATTGTTCCCCTTCTTCCTACACTGTTGGGCATTCCTCTGGACTGTGGAGACCGCTTTGACTTGAACCAGGCTGGCAGGGTCTGGTGTTGTGGCTTCCTCTGACAGTCCTGATGGGAGGATGGCCCTCCTTAGCACAATCCTTTTCACCAGGACATTGACATCTCCTGGCATAGCAGGGTGTCAGTTTGCTGTTATCGGCTGTGTCTGGGAAGCATGAGTGGAACATGACTGTAGAGCAGCTCATGAGTGCCTGTGTTTTTCCAGTTGGATAACAGCATGTAAAATCGTTTGACACTACAGCCTCCCACCCCCAAACCTCTGTAATGTTAAAGCTGCATGTTCTCTGTGCTGCCTACTCACTCAGGACACTTTATCACCTTCCCCACCTGCACCAACACTAATGGCTGCACATAACAGTCTGGGTATATCCTGGGGAATCCCAGCAGTGGCAAGTACCTCCAGCTCTGGTAAATGGGAGAATTGGGCTCGCATTGGAAACAACAGTGAAGGGCCCAGTGGGCGGTGTTAAATAAGAGTTGACACTTAGCAGTTCAAGCCCAAAATATATTGGTTTATTCACACATGCATACGGGGATCAGCTCAAGAACCCTCTGCTGATTTACAACAAGTTGCGAATTTCATACACAAAATACAGTTGCGCAGCCCATTTCAGGGCAGTCAACCTGCCTATTACTAACCTTGGTACATCTCACTTTCTAATTGCTGACTTAATTTTAAACATGGCGGTTTGGAATCTGAACAGCCTTAAACAAAATAGAGCTTTACTGTAGTTAATAGTGGAATAAACTTATTCAAAGCTAAATATATACTCACTGTAGACAATAAGATGTAAGAGCAGGTATAAACCATGCAGCCCATTGAGTCTGTTCTGCCATTCAATTCAACCATGACTGACCTGATAATCCTCAACTCCACTTTCTCACTTTATCTCCATAACCCTTACTGATTTTAAAACTTACAGTCCCTTACTGTCGTACTCAATCAAATGTTGTCTTCATATTTCACCTCATGTCTGGAGTTCAGCTGTTTTGATCATGTTTGGAGCAAGGCTGTAATGAAATCAGTCACCGAGTGGCCCCGGTGGAACCAAAACTGAGCATCGGTGATCTTTACTGCGCAAGCGTTGCTTGTGTTATGATCCCAGCTGATGGTAGCACCAGACAAGTAAGACCTCAGAATAAAACCTGGCTTGATAGATCACAAGTATTACTTTGCAGTTTGTTACCAGACTGGTTAGTCTTTGAATATATTCACACCAGGCTGCCAAGATTATTTTAACACAAGACCATAAGTTTATT